TAACTATTTTTTAATAAAATATCGTTTTGTATTCATTTGTACCACAATTTCAGCACATCAGACCGTGAAAATTGAGAATTCAGTAGTAAATTGTTGTAATTTTTTGTTTATTTATCTAAAAAATATTTAATGGTTTTTTGCAAAGTTATACATCTGGAAGTTTTAAGTTTTTATGCACCAACGAATTTTTAAGTTTTTTTTATCATCTAATCAAAAAACTTACAAAATTTCTGTTGTAACAAAAGTCAAAACACAAATGAACCATATTAATAAAAAAAGTACTTTTTTAAAGAAAGACAAACAAAAGTAAAACTAAAAATGATTGGTGCAATAGGGCTCAAATCGCATTTTTGGGAGAATAATGTAAGAAAACAAAGGATCAATCTTATCCTATATGTATTTTATATTTATACAAATATCTCCAATTTTAATATTGAAATAATATTTTTTCTTTACGAAACTCTTAGAGAGTTAAGTAATCAATTTCTATACATTCTTAAATTAAATAATTTTTTGAAGTTTATTAACACTTTGGGTTTCTGGTTTCAGGTTATTACTAATTTCACTCTACATATTTTGTAACTACAATTTGTCATCAAATAATATTATTAACCGATATTGGAGTATATAATATATAATACAACGTACTTATCTTACAATCGGCTAATAAATAAAACTACTTTTCAATTTGCAATTTCTATATAAATTTTTTCGATTAATTTTTGAAAATGATTATTCCGATACATATCGGAAGTTCAAGTTTATCCAAAAATATTTGATATGATAAAATTATAATTTCTTATTCGAGTTCTTCTTTTGAAAATATTATTCCTAATAATTCTTAATATAAGAATAATAATAAAGTTGGGTCAAACCAATGGTTTGTATTGTAGCACTTTTCCCTTCAACAATTGAAAATTCTGCTTTTAAATACAGTCTATGTATACCTATCACACTATTAAAATTATTTACATTCATATACAAAACTATTTCTAGAATTGCATATATTTAGGATGAACGATTTATGCAGTCTTTGAAAAAAAGCAAAAATAATATAAAGTGGGGTTAACATAATGCTCGATTTTAAGGGTTAATTGTGTGAGTTAAGAAAAATAATTATATTTTTTAATGTCATGGAATTTACCGTTAACTTTTTGCGTTTATAGAAATTCGAAAAAACTTGCGGTTTCAGAAATATAAGGTGTCAAAAATGCAAATTTTATAAATTTCAAGAGGCCATAACTTGAGAGGGGGTGGAGATGGAAAAAAATTTTCTTCTAGCGAAATGAACTATTTGATAATGTCTAAAAGCTCCTAAAATTTCAAGCTTCTACAGGCTGTAGTTTGGAAAAAAAACGACATCAAAAATTTGCAAAAAAAGGACGTTAGATAACGGTAAATTTGAACGGCCATTTTGTTTTTCTAAAGTTCAAATATAGTATACCACGGTAGGGGAAGCACGCCGCTGCCTTTCTGCGTTTGCAAAATTTCAAAAATGCTTATGGTTTCATTGCAACAAATAGTTAAAATAGGTAATTTTTAGTGCTTTGGGGGGGTATAACTTCTAGAGGGGGGGAGATAGGTAAAAATGTTGTTCTACGAAAATAAGTTTCTAGTAAAGATCTATGTACGTATTAAATTTCAGCTCTCTATCTTTAAGAATGTAGAAGTTTTGTAAACAGACACACGGACAGTCGGACGGACGGACGGACGGACGGACGGACGGACGGACGGACAGAGTGAAACTAATAAGCACTTTTTTTCAAAAATTTTTTGGAAAAGTGCTAAAAAGTAGGTATTAAAAAATTTTCTAATTTAAACTAATTTTAGGCGCGTTTTCAACTATTATTTACATTGCATACTTTTCAATTTTAAAAGAATTCTTATTAAATTCAGAATTCTAAAACAAATTTTATTTTAAGGCTATTTAATGCAATAAAGTGAATGAATGCTTATATGGTACGAAGATCTTTAAAGAAACAGTATTGCCACTTTTGTTCAAATATGGCCAACATCCCATTTTTTTTCGAAATTAACTGTATTTGGCCCATTTTCTAAAACTTAAAAAAAAAAAACTTTAATTTTTCACTTTTTCGAAAGTTTTTTATATAAAATTTGATTAGAAAATTATAACAAACCTTAAAATTGAGAGTTATAATTAAATTGTGTAAAATGTTCTTAGTGTTGGGAATTTAATATTATTAAATAGGCAATTTGCAATAGATTATGGTCGTACTTGTAAAATACCGAAAATGTTGCAGAAATTTTCACGTCAATACAAATAAGTGTTTTTCTTCTAAGCTTGAGCATACTATGAATTTCGGGCAAATTTGCTTACATTTGGCCCATTAAGTTTATCATAAGTGGTAATTCTGTTAAGGAAAAACCTTTTTTAATTTTTTAAAGTGAGAAAAATCAATTGGTTTAAATTTTTTATATGGTTTTATTTTATTTATTTAAATTTTCATTAATTTTTTTTTTCTTAGTTTCATACGATTCTAAACGTATAAATATTTTCTTTACATAATTTTTTAAGATATTTTTTTTATTTTCTCTTATTCGCATTTTTTGATTTTATTTCATTTTTTTTTTGCATTGGAAAATTCCATTTTTTATTTATTTTTATTTTTTGTTTTATTTTTAAGTATTTTATAATTTTCCTATGAATGTTTTTCCATTTTTTTTAAATTAGTTTTTTTTTCTTGTTTTTATTATTTTTTTTCTCTATTAATTATTATTATATTTTTCTTATATGAACAACAATACAAATGATTTTTTTTTTTCTGTTTTTTTTTTATTAAATTTTAATTTTGATTTTTCTTATATAATGAAATTTTTAATTACTAATGAAAAATTTATGTGTGTGTATTTTTTTTATTTTTTTCTTCATTTTTTTTTTTGTTAATTTTATGTTTTTGATTTATACTAAAATTTTCATATAATACGAAAATTCCTAATAACTATTCTACTTTCTATAATAATGTTACCTATAGTCTATAATTTTATTTAATTTATAATATAATTATATGTATATATGAATGTATGTATTTGTATGTCATTATTATTATAATTTTAAAATTAATAGTTAATTAAATTTTTTTTTTTTACACAACGTCCGTTTTTATTTTCCTAATTAATAATATCTATTAAATTTATATTAAATATTTACTTAAGTTTTTTTTTTTATTATCTTCTATATTAATTAACTTATCTAAATATTATAAGAGAAATATTATAACATTTATTATATTTAATAATAATAATAATAATAATAATAATGTGAGAAATAACAGAGGGTTAAATTTTGTTTAATATTTTTATGTATGTATGGGTGTTTAAAAATTACATAAAATGATTAGGGTGAAATTTTTGAAATTAAATTTTAAAGCACGTATACAAGAATTTTTGTAACAGGCGGAAATTAATTATAATTATAATATTTTTGATAATAATTAATAAAAATTGGAAAAATAATATTTATTTATTTGAATTTCATCTTAAAAAGAGCAAGCATATTTGCTTGCATTTTTTTTTTATTTTTAATATTTAAATTTTATTTCAACAAAATTTTGGTCAATGAAAATTAATTTTGAATAATAAAAATGGAAAATTTGCGAGAATATATTAAAAATATATAACCTGTATAGTTTTAATCAATTAAAAAAATGCAATATTAGGAAAATGATATTTTTATAAATAAATTTTTTAAAATTTTCGAAATCGTGTGGAATGTTCTAATAGAATACCGATTTTTGTACCGAATTAATGTGAAATTAATTAATTTTGTGATTAATTGCATGCGTTTTTGAGAACTAACTAGTAATTAATGATGTTATAGTTCAAATTTGTCATAAAATTAAATTACGGGATATTTTATGCATATTGTCTAATCTGATTTATTTAAACATTTTGCATAACTTGAAATTCTCCATTGTTCGAATTTTCTTTTCTTCACTTAACATTCTTAAATAGTTGATTGTTTTTACTAAATTATTCGAAGTCTTTTTTTTATTACAAATTGATTTCTAACATTTTGGGGTAGTATTTGGGCATTATTTTCAAATTAATTCAAAATTTAATTCTCTATTAAATCTCTATACTTAAATTTAATATTTTTACTTACACTATAATGTTTATTTTTCATTTTATTATATAAAAATTAATAATTTATTTTACATTAACATTTTTTTTACATTATTTTACTAATTCAATTAATTAATTTATTTATTTATTTATTTATATCTATATCATACATACAGAGTTTAATATAAACATACATACATACCTTCATTTTTCTCCATTTTATATTATGGTATATTTTTTATTTATATTTTTTATTTATTTTATTTTTTCTCTATTTTCTTATTTTTTTATTTGTTTTTTTTTTTTTTTTATGATGATTTGCTGTTATTTTTGTGTATATTACAGTGATTTTTTAATATAGTGTATTTACACTAATTGTAATGTTTTTATATTTTATTAGTTTTAATTAAATTATTAATCAATTTAATATTAATTTATGTATAATGTGTACATATATATGTATATGTGTATATTATTTTATTATAATATTGTTTATTTTTCTTTTTGATTTACATACATCCTTTTTAGAGTTTTTATTTTTTTTTATTGATTTTTTGCAATAGATTTTATAGGAATTTAAAATTAAAAATAAATTTTCGAAAATTAATGCATTTACAATGATTTTTTTTTAATACTTTTTGATTTTAAAGGGAATTAAAGGGAATATCGTTAGAAGGGAGTGAAAATTATAATTCTGTTATTGTATTATTAATAATTAAAATTAATTGTATATATTCAACGTTAGCAAATTATAAAAAAAGGGGTTTATTTAAAAATGCAAAAAAGAAAACAACACCTTTTTTGTTTTTTGTAAATACTTAAATTAATTATGGATAACGCCTATATATTGAGTACATTAAATTTTCATTAAAAAATTAAAAAAAAATTCATTTGAATTTTTATATATTTAATTGGGTTTCAACATTATGTAATTGAATTTTAACTATTTAGTTTAGTTGTCCTTTATAATAATGAAATTTAGAATATACACAATATTTTTGGGGGTAATCCTTATATATTTGAAATTCACTGAAAGAATTAATTTTAATTTAAAAAGTATTATTAATATACTAAAGGTTATTTGATATAAGGTTCGAAACTGAATTTTATAAATTGAAAAGATTCAAAAGATTTTGCCAAAATTTGCCGTAATTCCAAGGAAACTTTAGTATTTTTGATGAAAGTTTCAAAAATTAATTATATGATTCTCAAATTTGCATGAACGTTATACTAGTATACAATCCACCAAATTGTGTTTATAAGCCGAAATGAGCATTAAAGGAGCATTACCACAATATTAATATTTGGACAAAAATTGTATATTTAGGCAGAAATGAGTTAAAAACCTGATTAGCTTAATAATATTACGTTTTCTGTAATTTTAATTTAATTCAATTTGTATTTAAGGATTTTGTTTTTGTGGTATTAATAAAATCAACTGACTGACTAATATAATTTATTATAATAATATAATGAATATTGTTTGAAAAATTTTAATCATATATTAAATTTTTGCATTTTAATCAAATCCAATCAAATAAGTTCAATTAAGTTCAATATAATAAATTGGAAAAATTATTTAAATAAATAAAAAATTTTACAAAAATGATGACGTGTTAAATTTTAATATAATATATATATAGTAAATTTATTGTTAACAATAAAATAAATAATATTTAAATTAAAATTAAAATATAGAAAAAAAAATACAAGTAAATTATTATTTTCCCAGTTTAACAATTTAATTAATTGCTCAGTTAATTATAACATTATGTCAATATTAAATTGTATATAAATTTTTTATTACAATTTTTTTTTTTAAATTTTCGATATAGCGTTACTTAAATCAATTTTTTTTTCTCCATTTTCTTCATATATGTATACTTTAATATTCAATTTGTTAAAATTTTTTTAAAAATTTATACAGAAATTTCTTGAATTTGAACACGTTTTTTATTTGTGCCTGGTGTTGTTGGTGGTCCCGGTTGTCTTAATATACCACCTTGATATGGTGCTGTTGATTTTGGTGGTGGTGGTGGTTCTGGTATACCTGGACTTAATTGTATATCAATATCTTCATTTTCATTACTTTCACATGTAATTGTTAGGCCGCTACCAGCAACACTTGTACTTATACTACTACTTCCACTACAATTTGATCCGGTTTCTAATTTTTTTTGTGCTGAATTTGATGCAGCACTTAAAAGACCATCACCGCTTGTTGATGCATTACCACTTACCATTACAACAACTGTTTTTTCATCAATTCCACCACAATTTGTATTCGCTTGTATATTTTGTATATCCTTTTGTTCTGATTGTGTTGATTGATTCATTTGTTCTAATTGATTTGATGTTGTTGAATCAGTACTAGCACCCATTGTATGTAATTGTAATAATGGTCGATGCATATGACTATGCTGATGATGACTATGTTGATGATGAACATGTTGTTGAATTTGTTTATGAAATTGTGAGTATGTTACTAAACCAGTATTTGGATCAGATGATGGTGGTACAACAGCTGCTTGTTCAACGACTGCAACTGCAGCTGCCGTAGCTACAGCTGGTGGATAAACAACTTTTTGTGTTAAACTATGATGTTGTAAATTTGGGTTATGATAAGACGGTGGATATATAAGAAGGCCACTTGGTTGTTGTTGTTGTTGCTGCTGCTGCTGTTGTTGTTGTTGTTGTTGATTTTGTTGTTGCTGTTGCAGTTGTTGTTGAGGACTCATAGTTGCATTACGCCGTAAACTGCCGGTATTCGATGAATTTGGTGAAGAACTTTTAAATTCTTTTAATGGTAATTCAACACTACATATATCAGCTAATGCATGTTTTTCTTTACATTGAATTTTCTCATCATAACAACTATATTCACCAAAACTACCACTTGAATTGAATCCAGTTAAACTTTGTAATGATGATTTTCTACTACTTTTACCCATATCACCGGAACAACTTGGTCTATCTACTTTTTCAGAAATTAAAATCGGTGATGCACAACGTTCTGCTTTACGAAGTTCCTCTTTCTGTTTAATATATGAAATTCTTCGTTCTCTTTGATAATAAATACCAGCAAATATCAATAAATTCAATAATAAAAGAAAGCAACCAACTGAAATTGTTATAACTAAAGCTGTCGTATAACTTTGATTTTGTGAATTTGTAATACGATGCAATAAATCATTATTTTCTTCCGATTTTGCATCATTCATTATTGAATTAACACTTCCATTTTGCTGATGATTTAATGGTCGTGTTGCTGCAATTGTTGGAACTACTGTTGCATTTAATATGCATTCTGGAAATGAAAAAAGAAGAATGAAAAAACTAAATTATCAATTTATAGAATTAAGTAAAAATCAATTAATTAATGAAATGATTAAAAATTTTTCATTAGGTATTATTTAGCTTTGTACTTATACAATAATTATATTGTATAATTCCAACAAATGCATAATATAATTTGTGGTTCATTTGAAGTTTTATCAAGCAAATTCTTGATTTGTTGTTGATTGGAAAATTCTTGATTTATAGCAAAGAACGTATAAATTTTTTAGAAAATAATTTCAAAAATTAATGAGTCAGCATTTGCTTTAATGAAGAATTTAAATTTAAATTGAATTTAAGTAAAAATTTAACTAAAATTGTAAAATGTAAAGAGTAAGATGAATTTTAAACTAAAGTTTTCTTTATGCTAATTATAAATCAATTTTTTTCTTAACTAGCAGTTATCTTTCTTTTTGAGTATTTCTGTTTTTCAAGAAATTAAATATCAAAAGGCTTCACACATTTGGAGCTATTAATGTTTGAGTAGCTTAGGTGCATTGCTTAATTATAATATTTATTAGGGTATTAATTACAATATCGAAAACGTTTTAAGATTAAATATCGGAATATTTTTCAACTTGCCCAACTAAATAAGTGTTCGAATAAAAAAGGTATTTACTACTCAGAACATAAATTTCAACTGTAGAGTGCAAAAGATGCTAAATATGAAATAAAAGTTAGAATATATTTTGACCCATGCATGAAAATTACCAAGGCTTCAAGGACACTTTAGTTTATAAAATAATTTTTGAATACCTTAAGTTTAATTCTGAAAAAATGCATGTTTAATTAATTTTTGTTTAATTATTGAATTTTCTTTAAAATCTATTACTATAAATGTTCTCCTTTGAATTTCAAGGACATTCTAAACTCATTAAGAAGAAGGACGAAGAAAAAAATCAAGTAATAAGGAGATTTAAAATCATATTTATAAAACAAAGAAATTTCATTTTTTCTCCTTTAATACTGTTTAATAAGTTTTAAGATAATCTCTTTCAAAATTTTTCTATTTTACATGTGAAAAATAATAAGAAAATTCACCCTCACCGACCTTTTAACAAAACAAAAAAGGATAACAACAAAATTAGAAATTATATTTTTCGTTTGTAAAATGTAAATAACATAAATAACAAAATCTATGATGAATCTTGTAAAAAAGGGAATAAAGATATATGAAAAGATGATGAAAAGAAAAACTTAACCCCCATATTAAATGTAAAGTTGAATAATAGCATTTTAAGTAGTTGTGATTTCATTTTAAATTTAGTTTTTTTTTTTGCCTTGATTCACAAGCGGTTAAAAAAATAAGAGAAAAAACCCTGTTTATTTTAAAGTCGTTTATCAAGATTTTTTCTCCTTCTTGCGTTTAATGAGTTTTTCCAAGATACAATTTGAAAATTTTTATATTAGCAAATAAATTATTTAGATAGTTATTTGCTATTGGCAAATTATGCGGTTCAGTCTGTCAGTCTGTAAATAAGAAAAAATTCTATGATTCAAGAAGTTGTAAGGTGGGGTCAAAAACTTGAACTCAATTCTGAATTCAGTTCTTTCACTTGAACAAAGTTCTTGTAATTAGGGTTTGTAAGCACTTTAAATTTTCTGTATAAATTTTTGTACAATTTATTCCAATTTTTTCTCTATCATTTTAAAGTGAAAAAAATTAATTTTTTTTCTTTTAAATTCCAAAATCTATATTTTAAAAGTAAACATAAACCTTAATCACAAACGTTACTATTATCAAATATGTCACTGTTACCACATCAACTTTAAAAATATTCGTTTGGTTTATTTTAAGAATTTTAAGAATTTGATAAAATTTGTATGTATGTCTGGTTTACTTAAGGGAATCCATAATATAAATATAAAGTAACACATACATACTATTAAGTATACATAAGAATTTTACTAAATTTTTTGTTTTTTGTTCTTATTACTAGTATTAGGCAGAAGCTAAGTAGGGGTTATTTTTTTGTGATCTTTACCATATTTTTTTTTAGTTTGTTTTTGTTTCAATAATTTTTCTATACGTACATAATTTGAATTGTGTAGACATACTGATTTGAATAAAATTTAAATATGATTTAAAGGCTGGAGGAATAAAGATCATATAGAATGGAATTTGTTGTTTTAACCCTTTTTTTTTCAACTATTTGCGTATTTTCATTTTGTCTGAGTTTTTTTAATTTTTTTTCTTGTAAAAATTTTAAAATTTTATATAATGAAAATAAAAATATTGGTGCAAAAATACAAGGGGTCCTGTTTATAGAGACGAATGTAAGTGTAATTTTTTGTTTTGTTTTTGCTCGAGAAATTCTAAATAAGTAGGAGTAGTTTTATAGGCCAAGAAACAACATACTTAAAATTTCATAAAAACAATCTTATGGTAAAGACAGTTCAAGACCAAAAATGGAGTTATACATATCTTAAGAACAATCAAAAAAGAAATCAAAAAAGATTGAAAGCGTTCATTCTGCTTGTTCATATATTTTAATAATTTTGTCAAAATGAAGGAGTCAGTAATAAATAAATTAAAAATTTTTCCTCAATATGAATTAAACAATAAGTTTCTATTCGAGTCGTGGCAATTTACTATACAAAATTCTATTCATAACAAGCGTGAAAATTGAAACGAAACACAATTTAATAATTTATAGTCTTTGTTATGAGATTTGGAAGTAGAAAATGTATTTTGAGCAAAGTTTCAAGTATTTTACAAAAATCTAGATTTATGATTGTATTTTAAATCTAGGAAATTAAGAAAATATTTTAAAATTTTGTAATTTAATTTAAATTATATCATAATTTTATTTGCTAAAAGGACGGTAATTGCTATTAAATGGACATAATTGAGTTTAGCTAATTGAATTGATTGAATTACGGTCCATCCATTTCGTAACTGCGATAATCAAAAGAGTCAGAAATTGTGTTAGAGTGTTTAAATGCATACACATTATTTCAATGAGACACCGAAATGCAATCTCATAGAACTGCATATTATTTCATCTTGCTTTAAAATCAAATCATGTAAAATTATAAATTATTACAATCCCCATATGAAAAGTAGAACAAATATAACAATGTAGGGTATGACTCTGTACGAAAAAAAGACAAACAAAAATATGATTATTATTGTTTTTATATTATTTTGTTTATTTAAGAAATTTAGAATTCCAGGCTCCTTAGCGTAAAAAAGAAAAATTGGAACTCCAGCTATGCTATTTTCATTTTATTGTTTTTTTTTTCTTGTTTTTCTTGTGTTCCCAAAAGCTTTTGTTAAGATATTTGCTAAGAGATTTGTTGTTTAAGATAAAGAAAATAAAATTAGTTTTAAACTAAGAGAAAAATATTAGAACAGTACAGAAAATAGTAATAGAAAAACTCTAGAGAAAAGTTTATAAAAAGTTTAAAAGTAAAAAAAGAAAGAAAGAACAACCAAAAACAAAGACAAAAAAAAAAACTGAAAAGCATTATTTAAATTTTTTCTCTAAACTCTTTTCTGTAATACTTATATGTATATATATACATAGTAAATATAAATAGTACTTACATAGAATAATGTAAAAGCAAATTATATAAAAATAGCATAAAAATGAAGATTTAATCTTAAAGTCTTCATGAAAAATTTGATTGTGAATAAGTCAACAATGAATTTTTAAAATTTGAATATAGAAGATTTAACCTCATTTCTTGATTTAAATATTTCCAAAAATAATATTCTCATTTTATTACTAATAAATTTTTTGAAGACGCAGGACATCTCAGTGTGTATATTTTTGTAATCACCATAAATTAGATGGACAGAAATTAAGTTTATCGTAAAACTGAAACAAAGCAGTTTTTTTAATGTTGTTTTTAACCCATAAATGAATTAATTGAAAAATTGGTTTAAGTACCTAGTAAGAATTCTTACTAGGTAACTTAATAGAATTCTTACTAGGTAACTTAATTGGTTTAAGTTACCTAGTAAGAAATGAAAATATTTTCTACCTACCTATTGTGAGATTGAAAAATTTTTAAGGAAAAATTTCCTAATAATTTAATTTTTTACTGTGAAAATTTTGAATTGAAATTATGATTTCCAAGACAGCAAATTTCCATTAAAAAGCAATTTCAGTTGTTAAAAATTACGGTTTTTATTATTATGACGTTTTTAAAAAACTTTTTTTTTTTTAAAAAACTTTGAGTCCTTTGAAAAATATTGCATATCCACAGGGGCGTAAAACTAAATTAATTTCATTAAATTAGATTTTCATATAACCTCCACATCTTTTTGAGTTTATGGAATTGAAAAATTTTTGTTTTTGGTTTCAATACAATAAACAGCTGAAAAATTTTGTTATTAGAAGTTTGAAGAGCAAAGGATAAGAAATTGATTAAAATTTTGTTCTAAAGAAATAAGTTACTGACTTAGATCATTTTCGTTTATTATAATATAATCTTTAACTTTTAATCTTTAAAAGCTTAAAAATTATACAAATACACGAGACATACAAATTGTACAATTGAAGAAAATAAGCAAATTTTTTTTTCTAAGTTTTCAGATAGAGATGCATTTTTTAATCACAGAATCAAAAATAATAGTGCTAGAAAAAAAAACGAAAATTTTTTGAGAAAACCTTCTTCCATTTAAAAAAATTTGCATTTAATTTTTTAACTAAATAATTTTTTTTTAATTCTAGAAATTGCAATTTTCCACGAATTTAATAAATCAAATTAAAATATTTCATAAAAATATGAGAAATCTTGTTAAATTAATATTACCGCTTTGGTTTACAATAAACTTTTGCAAAATTTGATCAATTCAATGAAAATTCTTTGTAAAATTTCTTAAAGTAAAATATTTTTTTAATTGGATAAAACTCATTACTAAATTATGATTTAATCGCTATTAAGTTTTAGTTTTGTTTCTTTGTAAATAAAATTTTGCTTATATTTACAATAATCAATCGGTTTTGTACTACTTTCGTT